GCCAGGTATGGTGGCATATGCCTGTAATTCCAGCTACTCGGGAACCTGAGGCAGGAGAATCTCTTGAACCTGGGAGGTGGAGATTGCAGTGAGCTGAGATCACACCACTGCACTCCAGTCTGGGCAACAAGAGCAAACCTCCATCTCAAATAAAAAAAGAGAAAGAGTTGACCATCCTCACTGCTTTCATTACGTCCTCCTCACCTATCAGCAATCTAGCTTGCATTCCTTCCACTCCACAAAAACTGCTCTCAGCTCTCAGTATGTTTCAGTAATCTCCTAACTGCCCAGTGCAATCCTTATCTTCCTGCAATGCTCTGAACCATTTAGTATGGAACTAAACTCATTATCATCCCCAAACATTTATTCTCCTTTACTCTCTCAGCTAGTGGCACCATCATTATACAGTGACCTGTGATGGAAAGCCACCATAGGATAATTTTAGCTTGGACTTGTTAAGTTTGCAGTACCTTTGAGACATTAAAAAAAAAAAAAAAAAAAAAGATGCCCATCTAAACATGCGGATTAGACGCCCAAAATTGGAGATTACATGAATGCTACAGAAGTAGCATTTAAAGCCATGAACATGGATGAATTTGCCCGGTTCACAGAGTACAAGTACCAGGTCTTTAAATCCCAGTTGACCCACAGAGACTAACATGTTATGTGATTTTCCTTACTTCTCTGTTGATTCCCATTGTTCACAACTCCTATCATGGCATGAAAGGTTTATCACAGTCTGCACTTACTGTATGTATATAATGTGTATCAGTTAGCTTTCGCTGAAGCCCTGCTGCTTAACAACCCGCAGATCTTAGCTTTTGGCCACAAAGGTCTATTTATTGCTCACATAACATGTTAGTGCCCAGAAATCCCTATTCCTGAGGTCATTATTCCAACCACCATTTGGTTTTCTCCTTCCCAAGTTCTGGCTCATAAGGGTCTCTATATTGTCATCGTATTTCATATTCTGCCCTGAATCATGTTGTCTTCTCCAAAAACTTTAAAAATTCAATCTTAAAAAAGGTAGCCTGGGTGTGGTGGCTGGAGCCTTGAATCCCAGCACTTTGGGAGACCTAGATGGGCGCATCACCTGAGGTCAGGAGTTTAAGACTAGCCTGGCCAACATGGTGAACCCATTCTCTACTAAAAAAAAAAAAAAAAAAAATTAGCCAGGAGTGGCAGCAGGCACCTGTAATCCCAGCTACTTGAGAGGCTGAGGCAGGAGAATCGTTTGAACCTAGAGGGTAGAGGTTGCAGTGAGCCAAGATGGAACCACTGCACTCCAGCCTGAGTGGCAGAATGAAACTCTGTCTCAAAAAACAAAAAACAAAACAAAGCAAAACAAAATAGAAGGTAAAAATCACAATAAGACACTACTACTCAGTCACGAAAATGGCTAAGATCAGAAAGAGTGAGCACCAACCACTGTCAAGGACGTGGAGTAATTCTAACTCTCATACATTTTATAGGAATGTAAAAGAATACAGTTCACAAGCCAGCAGTTTTACCTCTAGGTGAATACAAATGTTCACAAAAGACTTGCACAAGAATGTTCACATAGGAGCCCACAACTGGAAAGAACTTAAACGTTCATCAATTGGAGAAGGGATAAACAAACTGTGGTATATCCATGTAATGGAATATGACTCAGCAATGACAAAGAACCAGATACTCATACTGTAGTAACACAGATGAATCTAAAGATATTATTTCCAGTGAAATAAGCCACTTGAGAGGCCAAGGAGGGTGGATCATCCGAGTTCGGGAATTCAAGACCAGCCTAGCCAACACGTTGAAACACTGTCTCTACTAAAAATACAAAAATTAGCTGGGTGTGGTGGTGGATGCCCATAATCCCAGCTACTTGGGAGGCTGAGGCAGGAGAATTGCTTGAATCTAAGATCATGCCATTGTACTTCAGCCTGGGTGACAAGAGCAAAACTCCATCTCAAAAAAAAAAGAAAGAAAGAAAGAAAGTCATACATGAGAGAGTACATATAATTTCAGTTTGTCGAGGAACACACCAAATTAACCAGTCATGATAAAATCAGAAAATGGTTGCCTAGAAGATTGGAAGGAAAATTAATTGGAAATGAGAACTTTCCGGGGCTGATGCAATGTTATGCTTCATGTTGGTTACAAAGGCATCAACAATTGCGAAGAGTCGTCAAACCACACCCAGCTGTGTTGTCTCGTGCCTGTAATCCCAGCACTTTGGGAGGCCAAGGTGGGTGGATCATTTAAGGTCCAGAATTCAAGGCCAATATGGTGAAACCTGTCTCAGCTACTCGGGAGGCTGAGGCAAGAGAATGGCTTGGGCCTGGTGCAGTGGCTCAGGTTTGTAATCCCAGCACTTGGGGAGGTCTATGTGGTCGGATCACAAGGTCAGGAGTTCCAGACCAGTCTGGACAACATGGTGAAAACCCATCTCTACTAAAAATACAAAAAAAATTAGCCAGGTGTGGTGGCGGGCACCTGTAATTCCAGCTACTCAGGAGGCTGAAGCAGGAGAATGGCTTGAACCTGGAAGGTAGAGGTTGCAGTGAGCCAAGATAGAGCTGTTGCACTCCAAACTGGGTGACAGAGCAAGACTCCATCTTAAAAAAAGAAAGAAAGAAAGAAAGAAAAAGAAAAAGAGAATTGCTTGAATGTGGGGGAGCAGCAGTTGCAGTGATGTGAGATCCCACCACTGCATTCCAGCTTGGGCAACAGACTCTGTCTCAAAAAAAAAAAAAAAAAAGAAAAGAAAAACAAATAGAGAAAGTAGTCGTTAAAGATTTGTAGATTTTGCCGGGCGTGGTGGCTCAAGCCTGTAATCCCAGCACTTTGGGAGGCGGGTGGATCACGAGATCGAGAGTTCAAGACCATCCTGGTCGACATGGTGAAACCATGTCTCTACTAAAAATACAAAAAATCAGCTGGGCATGGTGGTGTGTGCCTGTAATCCCAGCTACTCAGGAGGCTGAGGCAGGAGAATTGCCTGAACCCAGGAGGCGGAGGTTGCGGTGAGCTGAGATCGCGCCATTGCACTCCAGCCTGGGTAACAAGAGCGAAACTCCGTCTCAAAAAAAAAAAAAAAAAAAGATTTGTAGATTTTACAACTGGGCATGGTGACTCATGCCTGTAATCCTACCACTTTGAGATATCACCTGAGGTCAGGAGTTGGAGACCAGTCTGACCAATATGATGAAACCCCCGTCTCCACTAAAAATACAAAAATTAGCTGGGCTTGGTGATGCACACCTATAATCCCAGCTACTCAGGAGTCTGAGGTGGGAGAATTGCTATAATCCAGGAGGTGGAGGCTGCAGTGAGTCAAGATAGCACCATTGCCCTCCAGCCTGGGTGACAGAGGGAGACTATCTCAAAAACAAAAAAAGAAAAAAGAAAAAAAATGTACACATCCAATCTAAAATAAAAGGAAAGTGCAGGACAAAGAGTACATTCATTTATTTCAGTTAAAATTATATTATGAATTTATACCTCTGTTAATGTCCAGTCCCCTACTGAAAGCTGCCCCCTTCTTGTCATTCTGCCCTCACCCTTGCCCCTGTCTCCATGACATTTGTCCATTAGCCATTTTCTAGCCATCATGAGAGGTGATGTAATGGAAAAAGCAGCAACCTTAGAGCCAGAACTGCATTCAAATCCTAGCTGCCATTTAGTTGCTGAGTGCCAATATGTTCCCTGGTCTCTCTGAGCCTTCATTTTCTCAACTAGAAAATGGGTTAGGCCGGGCGTGGTGGCTCACGCCTATAATCCCAGCACTTTGGGAGGCCGAGGGGAGTGGATCAGGAGGTCAAGAGATTGAGACCATCCTGGTCAACATGGTGAAACCCCGTCTCTACTAAACATGCAAAAAATTAGCCGAGCACTGTGGCACGCGCCTGTAATCCCAGCTACTCGGGAGGCTGAGGCAGGAGAATTGCCTGAACCCAGGAGGTGGAGGTTGCAGTGATCCAAGATCGTGCCATTGCACTCCAGCCTGGGTAACAAGAGCGAAACTCCATCTTAAAAAAAAGAAAAAAAAAAAAGAAAGAAAATGGGTTAGCCTGAGGGACTGCTCAGCCCACAGCTCTCAAGCTCCAATCTTAGAAGGCTGGATGGAGACCCGGACAGGGCACAGAATGGGGACAGAGACTGGGTCACTTTTGCCACAGAAGTAGCAACAAGAACAAAAACAGGGACACAGGCAGGTAAGTACCTAGTCTACTCAGTTGGGCCAGGGACCCTCATTCTTTTTGACCTCAACCTGCAAGATCAATTCACATAAATGGTTCCACTAAAGGCCTGGAAAGTGCTCAGAGGATGAGATTCACAGGCTTCTCCCACAAGGGCCAGAAGGCAGCCCCGGGGCCCTGGTTAGAGTGTAGGAGAGAGGTGGTGCTGACAGCTGGGGAAATGGCTGCTCAGAGCCCGCATGGCCAGAGAAAGGCAGATCCTAGCCCCTGATTTAGGGGACAGGTGTCCTGAGTAAGGTCTGGCCACTAGAGAAGCTTGCCCAAATCGTTTTTGCACACTTCTGGACCTCAGCTACCCCACCGGAAACAACTGGGTCAGGTTGGATCTGAGCAATCTGCCACCGAAAACAGCCTCAGGAGTTTCCCAATACATAGAGGAGATAAAAATGGAACTGGTCCTGTGCGAAATAAGATAGGGAAGGGTCCAGAGCCCTGTCCTCTAGGTTCCCCTCCCCCACCATGGTGGCCCTTGAGGCAGGATGCCGGGCCTCACAGGACAGACAGAGTTCAAATCTTCAGGACTGGGCACTCCACAGGGACTCTTTCAGCTCTGCCTTATTCAGTAGTTGAGCACCTGTTACATGTAAATGAAATCACTTAGATCTGCAGGCTGCCCCCCCATCTGGTAGAGGAGGTAAAATACGTCTAGAAGTAACTCCAAACGAGGTAGAAAGTTCCGGGTGTAGTCAAAGAAGCACGAAAATGCCACAGAATAACCCTGTCCTCCACACCCCCCGCCCCCAGAGCCCTCCTTACCATGCACTTTGCATTTCCTTACTCAGAGACTGGAAGGGAGGTCTGCAGCGGTATGCTTGTTTCACAATCGGGGACACTGAGACTCTGTCTGGGAGGGTGGCTCCTTAGGCAAGCAGCCAGGCCAGGACTCCACCCTGCATCTCCTGCCTCCTGAGACACGCCTGTTTCCAGGTAAAGAAAGGAGGCACTGAGGCCTGCTCAGGAGCCCAAGGAACGCAAACGACGAGCTAAGCCACAGAACAGCTGCGGCGGGTCTCGGTTCCTTCCTGGGGGGAGGAGCTGCGCTCACACCCTCCGCGCCCCCGCCTCCCTCCCAGCCGCCACAGCGGGAAGATCGGGGAATCTCAAATCCCTCTGCTTCTCTGGCTCTTTGCACGCTGACATTTTTCTTTTTTTCTTCTTTTTACTGTTTTTTGGACGCTCTTCAAGAGTTTGTGCAATCATTGTGTTTAGCTGTTTTCCTGCCATTTCCAAACGCGGGGTGGTGTCCCTTTTGAGTAGGAGCGAGGTGCTTTGAAGAGTTGGAAGGACCTCCCGCCTTCCATCGCCCCAGCGCAGCTTGCACCCCAGTTGCCAAAGTTAGTGTCGGAAACTTTCCCCATGCGGGGCGTCTGGTGAGTCCTCGGCTCTCCAAAGCTCTCTGACACCTTCCTCTCGATTCCCTTGCCCCTTGGGGTTCCTGCGACCCTGACTTTATTCCCCCACTCCCAAATTCCCCTTCCTAGAGGCATCCCCTTCCTATCTTCTCCTGGGCAAGAGCCATTCCTCTGTCCTGCCCCACAGGCAAGGACAGACCCCTCACTCGCTGCGACTTACTCGGTCGCATCCTGTGCCCCTCAAGTCTCCTCTCTCTTCCCCACCCCCACCCCGAGGACCCATGGGGGAACCTCAGCCCGAAGCCCCTCAGGCTCCAGTCTTGGACGGCTGGACAGAGACAGGGACGGGCACATGGTGGGGACAGAGGGACAGAAACTGGGTCCAATTTAGCACCGAGGTAGCGACAAGAACAAAAGCAGAGAGGGACACAGGCAGGGCAGAAACCGGGCCCTCCCTACTCCCCCCAGCACCCTCGCCCACGCGCAGAGCCCCCAGTCCGGTCCCTGCTCGCGGCCTCCGGGGACTTGGGCGGCGCCCCGCGGGACCCACCTGATCCGCAGAACCCGAGCGCCGAGGGCCGGCGCCCGGCGATCGGGGCTGGGCAGGACCGCGCCTAGCTCCCGGCCCCGGCGGCGCCCTCCACGCTCGGATCCGCCACGGCGCCGCCTCCGCCCGAGCCCGGGCCGGGCGTGCCAGGGCTGGGTGTGCCCGCCCGTTCTCTTGCTCGTGGGCCGGCCGGGCAGGCGTCTGCTCCGGGCAGCGCGCAGCGGGCAGGGACACGAGGAGCAGGCGAGCGCTGACAGCGGGCGGCGCGCTGTGCCCGGCCCGCGGCGATCGGTTCCAAGCCGGTCCCCGCCCCGGACACAGACAGCTGGGAGGCCGGCGCGCGAGTGCGTGAGTGAGTGTGCGTGTGTGTGCCGAGGGGGAGGCGGGTGTGTTTGTTTCATTTTCACTCAGGCAGAAAAAAGCCTGAAACCAGCAAAAAAGAAAATAAAATCCCCGGTGAGGGTGACTGGGCCTCTTTTGCCTTCTCGGGCCTGCACGGGGTGGTGGTGGTGGTGGTGGTGGTGGTGGTGGTGGTGGTGGTGGTGGTGGTGGTGGTGGTGTCTGTGACGGAGCTGGAACCGGGGGCGTTGGAGGATGGGGTGGGGTCTGTCACCCTGTGCTGCGGGGAGGGGCCGCGCTGCCCTGGCGCACCTCCAAACGCTGGGAACCCAGAGCCTGGGAGGTCTGATCCACCTTCTGTTTCCCGAGGAAGGAAGAGCGCGAATGTAGGCAGGGGCAGGCCAGGGGCTGGAGTCGCTTTGCAGGAGTCCTGAGCTCTGGAAGTGAGGGCTGGGCGCTGGACACCTGGTGCAGGGCCTGCCCGCGTTTGCCTACTGACTTCGTGATCTTTGAGCCCGGAGTTTCTCAAATAGGGCTCTAAGGCAGTCCCTAGGCCGTGGAATAACTCTTTACTAGAATTATGTAGACAGGAATCCAAAACATTCGATTTCAGAGTATGCGCTTCTGTGCCCGGTGTGGCAATGATTCACTCTGAGAGAGTTGCTACGGGCACACCTGGCTGCCCTCAGTTCTCTTTGTCTTATACTGATAGCCACTGGGGTCATCTCATTCCCTCTCGTATCAATCTACTTTACAGATGGAAAAGTCAGAACTTCATTTTGCCATTTGCCCTTGAACGTCATTTTCATAGACTAAGAAACTCCCGTCTTAAATAATTCAGCCAGGCGCAGTGGCTCACGCCTGTAATCCCAACATTTTGGGAGGTCGAGGTGGGCAGATTGCTTGAGCTCAGGAGTCGGGGACCAGCTTCGGCAACATAGCGAAACCGGGTCTCTACAAACTATACAAAAATTCACCAGGCATGGTGGCCTGCTCCTGTAATCCCAGCTACTTGGGAAGCTGACACCCCAGAGAATCTCTTGAACCTGGGAGGCGGAGGTGGCCTGAGCTGAGATCACACCACTGCAGAGTGAGCCTCCATCTCGACACAGCAACAACAACAAACAAACAAACAAACAGCGACAAAAAAGAAATTCGCTTTTTAAATAATTGAATACATTGGAACTGTAATTTGACATCATTACAGAAATAGCACAGAGCATGGGCATGATGTATAATTTTAATTGTCTCTTACTAATGGGAAAGGGACAGCGGGCTGACACCCTTTGTGGCCTCAGCCCACCTGCACCCAGGTGAAAAATAAAAAATAATAAAAAGAAAGGGACAGTGGCCTGACCGGTGAGGTGATGTCACGGAATTTGGGAGAGTGGAATTTCCTGTTGGGTTCAGTGGAGTGAAGTGGTGGGAGGATGGAGTCATCAGCTCCACACAACAGCTCAGGAATGAAGAGCTCCAGGACAGGCAGCACAATGGGCCCTTTGCTAGAGGATAAATTGGGCCATTATTGTCTTATGTGAATACACTTGAAATAGTTCATTAGTTGTGAGTATCACAGCAAATGTACAATGGGTGATGTTATACTAAGTGTATTATTTTCCACTTGTCATTATTGCATTTGAGAATGCATTGTTTAAACTGCTCAGCCCATCAAACTGGATTATGAACTCTTCCCCTTTTTTTAAGAACACAATGATAGTGAACATGATGAGGGCACAAATGATGAGCCATCTTGATCAAAGTCCAAAGACGTAACACAGGAAACAAAACACCCCAAACCATCACTCTGTTACCGGTACACCCAGTGTCAGCGGTTTAATCAGTCACTTGATTTAATGTTGTTAACTTGAATTTTTAAAATTGATTTTGTGGTTTGTATTTACTTCGAAGATTTGTTTTGGTTTTGTGGTTGGTTTCTAGATCTATGAGCACGTGAGAAGTTCATGCTTAATTTTAGGTTTGCACCTGTTCCAATAAAGTAAAAGGAATGTAGGTTGACCTTTCGGGCCTGTTAGATTCCCGCTCCCCCCGCCTTTGAGAGTCATATCGTTCTGAAAGTCAGACTAGCAATTCTGCTGACTGAATGTCTGAGCTGGAAAACACCTTTTGCCTCCTTGGGTTTGGGATCAGGAGTTGTAGGTTTAAGGTCTTAGATGACTCATCCTTCCCCTAATTTGTCTCATATGTAAAATGGGGGTAAGATGACTAGTTCTTAGGAGAAGTAAAAGCAAAATGAAATGACTTCAGGAAAGAGCTTTGAGGCCACCAGGGCATCCCAGAAATATGAGGCCAAAAGATTCTCAAAGAGGAAGGGTAGGTCACAGAACCCCTTATGTACCTCTGACCACCAGACAGAGTCATCAGATCTTCACAACAGCTCATGTGACAAACTGACTTAATCTCTGATCCACCTTGGGAAGGCATACTAATCACACCGCCTTTTCCCAGGAGGGAAAGTAGAGGCAAAAGGAAATTAAGTAACTCTGCCATTCCTCTTGATAGGGCCAAATGCCCCAGGGCCTAAAGACCTTCCTCTTGTATCTGCTACTTTCTTGCAAGAAATATTTATGGGGCCTAATTATCTGTCTTACTTGCTAAGAGCACCAAGGTAAACAAGTTAGACCAGCCATAGCCTAGAGGAGTTTTCAGACTAGGAGGAGGAAAATAATCATGCATCCAGGGGAAAACTCAGAAGAGGGAGTTGACTAAGTGGAGAGATGAAGGAGGGGGTTTCAAGGGAATCACAGGCAAAAGTGCTGAGGAGAGAGGGCTAGGACCCCTGAGTGTGCTGGAACGTGTCAGCATTACAAATACACAATGCTCCAGGTGTGGTGGCTCACGCCTGTAATACCAGCACTTCGGGAGAGTGAAGTGGAAGGATCCCTTGAGGCCAGCAGTTTGAGACCAGCCTGGGAGCAACATAGCAAGACTCCATCTCAATTTTTTAAAAAAAGCAAAAAATAGGCCGGGTGTGGTGGCTCAAGCCTGTAATCCCAGCACTTTGGGAGGCCGAGGTGGTTGGATCACGAGGTCAAGAGATCGAGACCATCCTGGTCAACATGGTGAAACCCCGTCTCTACTAAAAATACAAAAAACTAGCTGGGCGTGGTGGTGCGTGCCTGTAATCCTAGCTACTTAGGAGGCTGAGGCAGGAGAATTGCCTGAGCCCAGGAGGCGGAGGTTGTGGTGAGCCGAGATCGCGCCATTGCACTCCAGCCTGGGTAACAAGAGCTAAACTCCGTCTCAAAAAAAAAAAAAAAAAAAAAAAAGCAAAAAATATTTCAAAACAAATATGGCAATTCTCAAATCAACTGCAAACAAACCCCAATGGAGTTTTTCTGGAACTTGATGGCTGCTCCTAAACTTCATAGAAAGAGCAAAGGGCCAAATTTAACCAGATGTCAAGAGGTACCGAGAGGCTATAACAAAGAAGTATGGTGTTGGTGCCAGGATGGGTTCTGACCTAGAAAGAGACCCACACGTGTGTGACAGAGTAACACCAGATCAGTGGGAGAAAAAGCAGACTTCAAAAAATGTTGCCAGACCTCAAAGAATTGAAAGCAAGTGGGCAAACAAAAGCTTAGACAGGAAAGCTTATGGCATTGCTATCCACAATAGCCGACAAATGGAAAGAACGCAAATGTCAACTGAAGAATGATAAACAGTCCTGATGTGGTGGCTCAAGTCTATAATCCCAGCACTTTGGGAGGCCCAGGCGGGCAGATTGCTTGAAGCCAGGAGTTCAAGACCAGCCTGGCCAACATGGTGAAACCCTGTCTCTAAAAATAACAAAAATTAGCCAGGCATGGTGGTAAGTGCCTGTAATTCCAGTGAATTACAGGAGGTTGAGGCACAAGAATCACTTGAACCCGGTAGGTGAAGGTTGCAGTGAGTCAAGATCATGCCACTGCACTCCAGCCTGGGTGATTGAGTGAGGCTCTGTCTCAAAAAAAGAAAAGATAAATAGAATGTGGTATATTTATACAGTGAAAAATTACTCGGCATCTAAAGGAATAAAGTACTGATTCATACCTCAGCATAGATGAACCTTGAAAACATTGTGCTAAATGAAAGAAGCCAGGCACAAAAGACCACATATTATATAATTTTATTTACATAAAATATCTGATAGCTAAACTTACAGACAGAAAGCAGGTAAGTGAATGCCAGGGGCTAGGAGGAGGGGAATGAGGAGAGACTGCCTAATGGGCACAGTTTCTTTTCAAAGTGATATATAGCAATTTGGAACCAGATCTCAGCGATGCTTACACAATATTGTGAATGTTCTAAATGCCACTGAATTGCACACTTTAAAATGGCTTAACCATTTGAAATGTGAATTTGATTTTAAATGAATTTTAAAGTGTTGCTGGGCAATTCCCTATTTATTAAAAATATAAAATAAAATTAGATCCCTAACACACACACACAAACATACACATCCATAAAATAGATAGACAAAAGACCTAAGGGAAAGAGAAATTTTAAAACTTTTGGCTGGGTGCAGTGGCTCACGCCTGTAATCCCAGCACTTTGGCAGGCTGAGGCAGGCAGTTCATGAGGTCAAGAGATCAAGACCATCCTGGCCAACATGGTGAAACCCCGTTTCTGCTAAAAATACAAAAATTAGCTGGGCGTGGTGGTGCACACCGGTAATCCCAGCTTCTCAGGAGGCTGAGGCTGGAGAATCACTTGAACCCAGGAGGCAGAGGTTGCAGTAAGTTGAAATCGCGCCACTGCACTCCAGCCTGGGGGACAGAGCCAGGCTCTGTATCAAAAAAATAAAGAAAGAAAAGAAAAAGAAAAATACAGGCTGGGTATGGTGGCTCACACCTATATTCCCAGGATTTAGAGAGGCAGAGACAGAAAGATTACTTGAGGCCGGGAATTCAAGACCAGCCTGGGGGCTGGGTGTGGTGGCTCATGCCTGTAATTCCAACACTTTGAGAGGCTGAAGTGGGTGGATTACCTAAGGTCTGGAGATCCAGACCAGCCTA